TCAAAAATAATACTATTTTGGTTTAGATTAATATTTAAATTAGCATTTTGTATTACCAATCCTTGGATTTAAATGTTAGTGAAAAGCTGAAGTGCTCTAAAATAAAGATACAAATTTTAAAAATATAAGATATTTTCAAAAAAAATAAATACAATTCTCAAAAGTAAAAATAAAATTTGGGACCTACAAATTTAAAAAAATTGAACAACAATTGAACAGTTCATCATTTCGAAAATATTAATATCTTGTCATTCATATCCATCGCTTTTCCAAATGCGCTTGTGAACAGCGAGATTTGGAGCTCCTTTATTTGGCATCACGCATACGCCCTGTGTGCGCAAGCAAACTTAATTAATGTCAAGCCATGATGTCACAGGGAGCATAAATATTCCACGACTGCCACAATGGGGCGTCGACACGAGCACATGAGAAATCATTGATATTAGTTGAGCAGCGGGGTTGCATGAAGGTCCAAAGGGATCCGAGGGGGCGGGGGCGGGGAAATCACGCAGCTTGCAGCGAACTTTTGATTAAAATGTCGTAGCAAAAACGGAGGGCAAGATGCGCGGAAAGCGGCGGATGAAACTTTAGCGAACGCACACAAATTGCGAATGTTTCGCCAAACGAAAAGTTGGCAAATCCGACCGAAAATGTTGTTCTATCTGCTACGGCCATGGTGCAACATGTTTGTGGTTCCAGGCTTTGGTTTTTGGGCTGGGGTTTGCGTTTTGCGTTTGAGTCTGCATTTTGGGCCAGCGAATCTCTTTGCTGTTGACAATGCGCAGCTAGGCAGCGGTTGCACAATGCGGAGCGATTGTAAATCCAATGCCCAACCGCCGGAAACGAGAAAAATACGAAAAGGCACACGAAGCGGATGCAGTCCAACAGCTCGCCGTGAAAAATTCAATTACAAAGTCGCACAAACCATCGAAAGAATGCAAATTTGCACGGGAGAAAGTGGGGCGAGAGCTGGCAGTCAAACGCCGCAGCAGCAGCAACAACTGGCAACTAGTTCAGAAGCTGTTTTGCGGTCCGCCAGCGACCATTACGATTACGTTTACATACGTATGGAGGGAATCTGGGGAAAGCTGGGAAACTGTGGAAAGCGGGAAACCGGGAGGAGAAGCTGCATGTCGCAAGCAGTCAGTCACGTGCGAACGTGACGAAAATGCCACGATTCAGTTTTGGCCAAGTTCTGCGTGCCAATGAGCAGCGGCAACCGAAGAAGCAACAGCAACACGAGAGGCAGCAACAGCAAGAGAAGCAGCAGCAACAGTCGCAGCAGCAATAGCAATCGCATTGTCCCGAGCTGGTTATTTGTTTGTTTTGTGCGTGCAGGACGAAAACTCCTGACAGTAACTGCACTCCCAGAAATTCTATCAACAAAAAACCATTTTCTATTAGTGAATTAATCGATCTTTACAAAAAATTAATTTAAAAGATTTTATTTGTTGAGGAAATAAATTATAAAATATTTTAAAATACATACTTAGAAAATAGTAATATAATTTAAAATAATAAATAGTTTTCTACGGAACGTCCACCTATCCACCAAACAATTTTTAGAAGGTTGGGCATAATTTTTGAAATTTGGAAATACAAGTTTAAATTTAAAAAATGTATTAGTGCATTTTTTGTGAGCATGGAGACCGAGAAATATTCTTCACAAAAGCCTAAAAAAGAGCTTTCCTTTTTTAAGGGCAATTTCGAGCGAAAGTCAAAGTAAAAAACGTTGTCCTGAGTGTGACAGGTTCTGGAGAGCATCTTCGTATTCATAAGGCCATAGGGCCACAGCACAACAATACCGAAGCCGCAAAGTGCAAAATGCGAACTGCGAAAGCTGGCTGACCTACAGGATCAGGAATCCTTCTGTTGTACGGCTGCAATTGCAAATTGCTGTGGCAACACACATGTGAGAGTGTCAATTGGAGGAGCAATCGGGCGCTTTCTAAGGTGTCAATCAGAAGAAGCTGCATTGATTGACTCGATTGTTCGCATGTGTCACAGCTGGGTAAATTGATTTTCAAACCTTGGGGGGAAAATTCCTTTCAAGTCCGGAGGTGAGCGAGATGCCATCGAAATACCTTTCGCCATCTCGATTAATAACATATCTGGCGTCTTAGCAACGTGCTAATTAAGAGCTCTGACTCCGGTGCCAAAGGGCCCCGGGCGAATTCCATAACTAATTAATTTTACATTATTCAATGCACTCAGTGCAGGCGCCTTGGTCAGTGGTCGGTCTGCAAATTCAATCATCGTCAGGCCAAACATAATACATTTTCAGTGATTGGCATAAAATATTTACGGTGTGAGCTCTGGACAATGACAGGCAGGTCTCCACGGACACGGTCCTGGCCAAATGAAAGCCAAACACCAAAATTTTCACCAGAATTTGTGGCCAAGAAATCAAAATCAAAAGCGAGCCCAAATGCATTGTCATAATTGAATTTACAGCCCGACAAATTCAGCCTAATTGTCGCTGCTAAACAAGACCCAAGCATGTTTGCCAAAAGCAATTATCTTTAATTGTGAAATATTATTCTGTTGGCCCAGCGAATTTTACACAAATTACGCAGCGCAAATAAAACCGAAACCCGAAATGGGTAATATGTAATGTGGTCGGTGTTCTGCGGGTGTACTTTTGACTGTTTCATATACGCCCGTTTCTGTGTCTCTGGGCTCAGAGTCATGACTAAATAAAGGTGGGAGGGAAGGAAAAGATACTGCAATTGCAGACTAAAGTGTAAAAGTAGGAAATATTAATAAATACGTGTTGAATTAAAAAAAAGAAAACGAGATCTTTATTTTTCACCCAATAAAAGAAGTACTTTTTCCGAAATAATAGATTTAGCAATCCAAATATGGAGTGGCATACTTTATTAAACTATAAATAATTTTTTACTTACTTGCTTTAACTTGGACGGTTAGCCCGAGTTATAAATTCTTCTACAAATTAGGACTCATTTACTTGTTGAATATGACTGATTTCCAAAAAATATAATACTCATCTATAAACAATAAACTTTATTTTAATTCAAAGTAGGTACTGAATTACACAGTACCAAAAATATCTGATTCTCTGATTCCATATTTATCCAAAAAAGTCCGAGATACTTTATTAATTTTTTCCATACTCTCAGAACTTAACTCATCTTTGTGTGACCCAATAATGCTTATTGAAAGAAAACTTACTCAAAATTTTCTGTAGTTTCACGAAATATTCCAAAGAATTTTGTGTGGTTTCCAAAATTACTCTCTGAAATCATAGCAAGATTATAGCTACAGCTACTATAGCATTTAAAATATGTCGCACTTACTTTTCATGTTCTCAAAACTTAAGTGCTCTACAAGTTTTTCCATTTCACTATCGCTCAAGTCCTGGCATTCCAAAAATCGCGATAATCTCCAGATCACATCTTTGAGGTCTCTTTTCATTTCCTCGTAAGTGACAAACAAAATATTTTTCTCATGGCGCAATCTATAAAAATCAAACATATGCTCCCAGTAAGGGGCAAATGGAGTCTTATCGGCGACAAAGGCATCTACAAATTCATCCATGCTGCCCTTCCAGTACTTTAGGCCCGAAAAGAAGTGATATGTAGAAACCACAACGTCCTTCGGATTTCGAGCTACGTAAATGGTTTTGCGCCCATGAGTCCAAATTTGTCGGGGCAACAGAGGTGCCGGTAAATGAGACTTGATCAGTCTGGGATTCTCTTGAATTTGATCACAAGCATCAATGGAGTCCGTTGTCACAGCAGGATCAACGCCTGAATGCCTGTAATTTCAAAAAAAGTCAATGATTTTAATTTCTTTGCATACGACACATTACAAATTCGATTAATTTCTATGAATAGAATAGTACTCACTCAAGATAGGGACTTCGCATCATACCATAGTTTTTCTGGGCCTTCTCGTAGTCAAGATTATTTAACAAAAGCCAGGTTAGCTCCAGCATCCAAGTGGATCCCGTCTTTACACCAGACACCAGAAAAACATCAGTGTCTCGTGTTTCGAAGCTATCGATGCGGTTCGCAAAGTCAACCGTGTATTCCACGGGTATCGTGCACCATCGATCGATCCAGTCCTGTTTTAGAGGAATCCATTCAGGACCTAGTCCATTTGGACCTTTGCACCGAACCTGGGTAGTTTTTGTGCGTATGTTGGGACACTCGACCGACCTAATTTCGTACATGATGATAGTGCTTCAACGGTTCTCTTTCAACAACTGCTAAAATTCTATGCAGTCACGCAACTTTTATAGAAGAGCTCATTTTCTCTTGCTTCTTGCTTGGAAACCGGTGTATATAAACCTGATTATGAATAGCTCACTATAAAAGAGCTCCATATAGACCAAATGGTTAAATTTACATTTTTTATTTGATACAAAAAATGTTATTTCAAATCCATTTTCACTGACGAGCATGTTTTAGCTTGATGTTGGGCCGTCACTTTTCTGAATCTCAAAGTATGTTAAACCGGTTAAACCATGACTAAATAAAGAAGGAGGGAAACTTTTCAAACTCACCTTTGTTCAAGCTCATAGAAATATGATTATAAAGATATTTTATATTTTAAAATAGTTATTAAAAATTATAAATGGTTTATAAACGACTTACTACTGACATTTCATCATTTCCCAATTTTCCAAAAACCACCTTTCCTTTTTTAATGGCCAATTTCTTAGAAAAATAATTTATGTATATGTATTCTCACCTTTTCCTGACGATTTTTTCTCTTTTTTTTCGTAAGTCAGAAAACTCTACAAAAGCTTGACAAAGTCGGCGGCATAATTAGTCCTGTCACTTTATGCAGATTTGCTGTGCCCCGGCTAATGAAAATCCGTTGTAAAATATTACGTATACGCACGCGCTCGCTGCTCATTCAAATTAATTGACTTCACGCTGTTATTGTTTATCCGACAAACTGTTGCGGCGCCGTCGGACAGCGCATATATTAACACATTTTAAAATGTCACCTCTGTCCTTTTCCCTCCGCAGACCACACAGCGACGGCCTCATCATCGGCAGCCGAGGCAGGAGCAGGAGGAAAAACAGAAGCCTCCACGATGACGACGCCGGATAGCGAGCCATCAGTGCGGCATATAAATCAAAATTTAATTATGTCACAGCCGAAGGAGTCGGAGTCGGGCGAGCCGGTGCCCGTGCCACAGCCGTACGCCCAAAGTGCCGCCACCGGCGGGGGCAGCAGCATCACCAGCTTCGACTCGACCAACGTGATCGATGGCCAGAGCCAAAGCCAAAGCCAAAGCCAGAGCCAGCCGTCGCCCACTCACCTGCAGGAACCGGTGCTCCAGACGCACTCCCACTCCCGGATCCAGGCCAAAGATACGGCCGGACCCTATCCCATCCCGATCCATCGGCCGGAGCCCGTGGAGAACCATCTGGAGGCCACCAACGGCATCGAGGGCGGCATGGAGAGCCTCTTCGGCACGCCCATGTACTTCGGCACCGAGAACTCGACGGTGGTGACCACCCAGATCGGGGCCACCGCCCACGTTCCCTGCACCGTCCACCACATCGGCGAGGGGGTGGTGAGTACGCCCCATATCCGTATTGTTTTAATATTTTATTAAAAGAGAATCCATCACTGTTGCTTTGTTTGACTTCAACGATGACGATGGCGATGATGATGACTTTTGTGCCCGTTTCTTTTGTCAAAGAGACTGACTGGCTTTCTCCTTATTGAAATGGAAAAGCATTGAATGTTAATTGATGAGATCCAAATCGATCAAGAGCGGCGGGGTTTACTGTACATTATTTTGATTTATTTGGGCTTAAGTTTAATAAGGTTTAATCAGGTGAATGAAAATGTATTATTATAAACCAATCAAGTATATTTATTATTATTAACTATATAAGAAATTTTAGGAGATAGCTGACTTATAAAAGTTATACAAATTACACTGTGCAGCATTTTTAGTGCTTTTTAAATTTACCTCGATGGATGCTATATTTTTGGAATCGTTACGAATTCCCATGATAAATTGCGTTTTCAAAAAAGTTCCCCGACGCAAGGATTCTTAGCAAAAGGACCTCAAAGTTCGAAAAATGCAGAAATTGGCCAACTTTCCGGAGCTCTCAGAGGCAAACGGATTCATGGTTGGATTCGATGCTAAAGTTTTTTAAAAGATACGCTCTTTATCTTTTAAGCCCCATACTTAGAATAATTTAAGGATTTTTTTGAAGGCAGAAATAGATTCCGGAAAACATAGTCAAAAAACTTAAAAACATACAGCTGCGGTCAAAATAGTAGTAGTGTTGCCGCCCTGTGTTTTTAAAAGTTTGTTGTTGTAATTCATCTTCTTCTGGTAATATTGTATTGATTATAATTGTACTATTAGACTAATTGGATAAAAAAAGTGACAACAAAAAACTTTTAAAAACACATGACGGCAACACTACTACTATTTTGACCGCAGCTGTATGCTTTTATGTTTTTTGACTATGTTTTCTAAAACTTGTTTCTCCCTTAATAAAAATCCTAAAATTATTCTAAGTATGGGGTTTGAAAGATAAAGAGTGTTTTTTTTTAAAAACTTTAGCATCTAACCAAACCATGAATCCGTTTGCCTCTGAGAGCTTTGGAAAGTTGGCCAATTTCTGAATTTTTCGAACTTTGAGGTCCTTTTGCTAAGAATCCTTGCGTCGGGGAACTTTTTGGAAAACGCAGTTTAACTTTGGAATTCGTAACAAATCCAAAAATATAGTATCCATCGAGGTAAATTTTTGATGCTGCATAGTGTTATTATTATTATTTTATAATGTTTATATGATTTATTTAAAGGGATAAAGGATCTATTCATCAGTCTTCAATAAGCTTTCCAATAATCTTTCCAATTCCGGATAATATTTATTTGTTTTCCATTTCCACCTGCCACCGGAACCAGAATTTAATTAAGTCGCCCTGCTTTTCGAGGGCGCTTGTGTCTGGAGCCTCGTTTCGGCCCAGAGGCAAACTAATATGGTAGTAAACACACAGATTTCGGACATTTTGGCTGAGCAAAATGCCTGTGTGGGTCATTGAGCAGGCGAAAACACACAGACAAGGGGAATGGGAGACAAATTACACCTTTCGCTGTGAGTGTGGGTGCTCGGCATTGACATGCCATGGCCTCAAGTGGTATTAATTTTCCGCTTGTCTAGAGTTATTACTCATACGCCGTGGTGTGCGTCACGTTTCGTGTATTTGTGTGTTTGTATTCGCTCCAGCCCGAAGACATCGAGGTGTTTATGCCGCCTCCCCGAAGAGTCGGTCACTCGATTAGGCCGTGCTATCCCTACTCTCCACTCCTCCTCCCTCAGGAGATCCCATCCCAAGTGACCTCGGTGCGTGTTTGTTGCATGTCTGGTTTAAATTGACGATTTCATAATTGTGCCTTCAAGTGTGCGGAAGTTAATAAGCACTTAAGTCCTCGTAGGCCCTCTGTGAGTGCGAGTGAGCCAGTGTGTTAGCCAGTTGGCACTTTGCACGGCTGCGTGCTCAAGTGGGCGATGCCCTAACCCCGACTTATATGGGCCACACAATGGGCTTTGGGTTCGGCTTTGGGTCTCGGCCTAATAAGTCGGCAATTTGTATTATGGAAATTGTGTTGCATCCAGCCCTTTTGGGGTTAGCAAAATATTATCATCGTGTCTTGGGCCTCTCACTGCACATCGGCCCCGGGCAGCCGGCCCTTTAATTGCACAGCTCTCAAAGGGATCTTTGCCTAATTCGCCAGATGCATTCATTAGCTCCAGTTTGCTATATAGCAGGCGTATATATATATGGTAGATGACGCTTCACGCACTCATTGCGTAATTGGCAAACAGAGAGCTGTACTGAGTCCCCAATGAGATGGAAATTCATTGGGCGACTGCACGCCGAGAAATGCTCAGTAATGTTCTGGATTTCAATGTTGTCTTGAAAAGGTATGGTGTTTTCAAAGATTTTAATAGCAATTTTCCCTCTGTACTGCCTCTTTCACAGGCAAACTTAAAACTCTTTGAGGACTGCAACTTCTCCGTCTAAATGGAAAATGCACTCTCATTTCATTGCCCTCGCTGTGGAGCATTAAAATCTTGGGCTGGGGGCTCCGGCCATTATGCGAATGTGATTGTGAGTGGGGATGCGAGTGCCAGTTCAGTGGACAGGAAACGTATTTGCAACTCCTCTGCACTGCGGCGGAATTCGAAATCGAAATGCTTTGTCAGGTGCTCGCCTTTGTCTATAACGTTGCCGCAAAATGCAAAAGGCAGAAAGACCCCCTTTTTAACTTGAAGAATACACACAGGAATTCGCTAAACATTTCCGCGAATCGGGGTTTGTTTTGTCTGCGCCTTCGCAGTCGTAAATTAACTTTAGTCGACAATAAAATGCAGGAAACATTAAATAAATGAATTGCTTCCTTGAGCGCGAGCCTTTGTTTTGGTATTTTGCTGCAATTTTAATTTTTGTCGCCCCACCATTTCGCAGTGGTTGCCTTTTATGAGAGGGGATGACAGCGAATTAATGGATGTGAAATACCTTAAAGTTAAGGACACTTAATGCCTTCTTTGTGTTTAAAATGCTGTCGACAACTTTCCATTAAAGTAATGCTATTAATTAAGAGCGTTTTCTTGCATACTGCAGACAAATCTGCTTCGCCAGAGATGGAAATTTTCTGGCAAATTTAAAGCCCATAAATCAAATGGCACAAACAGCCAGAAGTCCTTGCACACACACAGAGACACATAGGAGGAGAGAAAAAGTGGGAAAGAGCACTTCGAATTAAGAATTACGACACTCGTATGTGGCTGGGCGGACATTAAAATATGTCATTAGGGTATTAGTCGAGAGCAGCAGCTTAAATGGCATTTAAAATAAACTAAGCAAATACGTGTGTCCTGTGTCAGACGTCACCCGAAGGACCCTCCTAACCCATTGGCTTTGCCAGTTGCACCCGGCTCATATAAATTGAACTAAATCAGCACTCGAGCAACAGCAACAGTCAGTGCAAAAAGATATGCTACAGCAGTGACTGAAAGAAGGAACGCTATTGAAATCAGCTATTTAAAACTATTTGGGAAATCGTATATATTTATTTATATTTTAGTGTAGAAGAGTTTATTTTTATTAGGAAGTAATATATAAATTGTTATAAGATCAAATGCCAAAAATTCATAAAATAATAATATTTAATATGTGATTAATGTGTGATAATAAAAAAATCTATTATTTTCATTCAAACAAAAACCACTAGGATTTTAGTCTTTTTCCGTTTTAATGATAGTTATTTTCTGCTTTCCGGACCTTCACTGTAACCCATATAAGTTCCCATATATACTTTCGTCTCTCGACGACTTTCAGTTGACTTGGTTCTGTCCATGGCTTTTCCGCCCCAAGCCTCCAGCCCCCAGCCACGCCCCTTGACCTGCAGTCCAACTCCATTTAATTCCGCTTCCTCTGCCAATGCCGATTCCCATGTTTGTCCTGTTGCTCCTGCTCTGGGGATCTGCGCCCGTCTGTGTGACTTGAGCACTTAATTACTTTTTAGATAAATTGTCGTTTTTAATGTCTAGACTCGCCTTGCCGCCTGTCCCTGGGATGTTTTCATAGAGAAAAGTAGCAGTAATTAAATGTGCTCACAGCATGCCAAGATTCTACGACGTTTCCTGACAAAGGAAAATGCGAAAAGCTTAAATGCCGAAAACTCGAAAATGTTCGGCCCCCGCCTGCCCTTCGCCCACTCATTGCTTCATTCGCTCAGATAGAAGGTAATTTATTTATAATTTTCTGGAAAATGTTCACCAATGCAGATTAGAAAATATAATTGTATGGGAGAGTGAGAGCGAGGAAAGCTTCTGTTCTGCCGGAGAACACTTTTCCTTCGCTTGGCCAGATAAAAATACCGAAATTGGTATTTTATGAAAATTAACGCTGGGGGGCCTTGCCCTCTGGATCGGATAAGTCGTTTAGATAAAAAAGGTTACGCAAATGTTTAAGCAGAGCAGAGCGGAGTAGGTATGCGTGTATATCGTATACATATATATGTGCACATATAATTTGCAAAGTTTAAAATCAGATAAACTAGAAATTGCCCTTGTCCAAGAAGTGAAGGCTAAACCGAAACCCAAACCGAAACCGAAACCAAAACCGAACAGAAACCATTTAGTTTGCCTGCCAGCGGAGCGACAAAAAACAAACAAATAATTTAGCCAGCACATTGATGAGGGTTGGCAAAGGATAATACAGGATATGCTCGGCATCGCTCTGCCGAGCTTAATCAAAACAAGCACATAATTCCTGCACAATCATAATTTTTGCATAGTTTCACCTCGGTTTCGTTTCGTTTCGCTCCTCTAACAAATTCCTTTCGCAATTTCGCTCAAAATTTGGCACACACAATGTGCGAGTGTTTGTGCTTTTGCATGAGTTATATTCCATTGTGGAATTGTTGGGCGAACAAAGTAATACACATTGTTGTTCCAGTTCCAGTTCCCCATTTTTATGTGAACTCTATGTGTTCCTCATTTTTTATTGCTCACATTCAGCGGTGTGTGCGTGTGTGTGTGA